GCACCTTTTCATCAATATCGCCACCTCTGGTCTTAATTCTGCGGCCTACTGTCGATGTTGTCTGGGGAATGGGTTCTTGGTTTTGCCGCAGGAAAGAGTTCAAAGGCGTCCCGAATAATCCGAGCAAACCATGAGTTTATTGAAAGAAAAAAGATAGGACAGTGCCTTCACAGGGTGATGGGAGTCGGCAGGTTGGGAGAACAGCCACCGGGTGGAAGAGAGTTGGGGCTTGGAGATTTATTATTTCTGAAATAAGGGCAGGAAATATTCAAGACTTAAGGGTGGCATTATAGCCATTCCCAGGCAGGTCTTTGCTGACCAGTCTTTCCTGGGAGGACAGATTTTTGTCTTTATTCGGCCCTTGCCAGAACTGTCATGATGAATCCATTATAATTAGCTAAAGTTCACCTTGAGGGGCAGACTTCACCCCGGTGTCCTGGGTCTGTTCTCAGCCACCGTAATCGAGTTCTGGCCTGTCCGATAGCTGCATCTTTTCTTAAGAAGGATCTTATCTCCTTCCTCCTTTGTTTTCCCTTCCTCCTTCTCTTCCTGCTCCCTCTCTCCCTGCGGCCCTGTTCTTTCTGCCTGTGGTAACATAGATACACAATACTTCAAAACATTTCTTCTCTCTCTCTTCAGCCTTTACTTCTTTCACCTTGTTCTCTTTGCAGACCATGTACCATCCTCCCTTTTCTTGCTGAAACCGACTCCTTTTCCTGAGACCTACCTATGAATATTTTTCTGCATAGTTTTAGCATGTTCAAATACTCCTGAAAATTTAAAAGGCAAGCAGAGTTTCTTTCTTGACCACGCTTATTTCTGAAATTTCCTAAGTGCAAACACAGGAATGTGCTCCTCTCTGTCCCATTTTCAGATCTTGAGAAATTAATTTTAACTATATTCATTGACTCGATTAACAGAGAGAGCCTCTCTTTCTCTATATGTCACACCCTCTAGTTTTTCTTGCATATAAATCCAGGCTCATTTAAAAAACAACAACACATATTTCAGATTGCTAGTAGTCCGAGTTAAATCACACCATCTTCTACCCTACATAACTGGTCTTAAAAATTGGTTTAATAATATATCATATTTATTTTCCCTTCCAATCTTTATACAATTTGCTATAGGAAAAACACCTATTACTACCTTTTTTATTGCAGACCAGGGGTCGACCTCACCCTTATAAAATCTCTTATGTGAACACTCGTTCCTGGGAGCTTTCATATTCATAAACTGAATCCCAATCCACAAGTATTGAATTCACCCATACATTTCCCCCTCGTGGCTCAGTCTCATTTCTTGGTACTGAGCTGTCCCTGAGATTTTCAGTTCTGAGAGTGTCACGGGTTATACCTGACCATGATATAATCACATACTGGCTCACACTGGGGTCAGTGTCATATGGGCCAGGAAGCACTTGAGGAAGTGGTTTACTTATGCTGTTTTAGTTTCTCATTTTAACACCCCTGAAACGGAGAGTGTTATTGCCCCTGTTTTAAAGATGAGAGAATTGAGGATTATGAAGACTAGGTAAACTCACCCATAGTCACCTTTTACCTAAGGGCTAGAGTCAGGATTGAACCAATCTAATTCCATAGCAAAAAACTCGAAGCTGCTAAATTATGCTTTCGTTGTTGTGAGTCTAATGGCAGCCTTCTAAGTCTTGGGCTTTCATTTGGAGATTTAATTCTTATCTCTAATGGACCCTTTCCTTCCTTCCTTCCTTCCTTCCTT